CGCGGCCTGCGCGTCCGGCTGTGCTGTGCTGCAGTGTGGGCTGCTGCCAAGTCGTGTCCCCTAATCCCCCTCCTCCTTGTGCCATTGTCCCCCCCTCGTCTCCCTCTCTCACCATCCCTTCCCTTTCCCTTGCCCCTACCCCTTCCAGCCCCCCTGCCTCTCCTATCCCCTCCCCCAAACCCTCTCCATCTACCTGCCCCGCTCCTCCTGTCCTCCCCACTCCCTCGCCCCCCCCCGTCCCCCCTGTTGCCCCCCCTCCCCTTGCCACTCTCTCGCCCTCCTGTGCCCCTTTCCCCTGGCGGGGATCTAGCTCCACACCCGTTCTGGCCCCTCTAGCTGCCTCTGGCCTGTCCCGTGCTCGGTCCTCTACTATCTGACCCCCTCTCTTGACCATGACTATCTCCTCGATCTCCTCCCCCCCACCCCCCTGTGGTCGAGCTGCCCCCCCCTCCCCTGTGGTACCCTGGGTCATTCCCCCCCAAGTCTCCTCCGCCCTCGCCCCCCCATGAGCACCCCGTCCCCCTCGCCCGAGGCGCCTCCCCTGGCCCTCCCTCATCTGCGGCTGCTGCGGCTGTTGCGGCTGCTGCGGCTGTTCCATCCTACCGTGTGAAGCGGGCTGTCCCTGTGGCAGTGGCCTCTGTCCAAGGACTCCCGCCTCTGTCCCCCGCGTCTGTGGCACCAGCCGTGCCTGCTGTCCCGACTGTCCTGACAGTCCCAACACTCCCTGCTGCCCTGGTGCTCCCCCCCTCCCTCGTGTCCCTCCCCCCCTCCCTGCTGCCCCTCCCCCCCTCCCTGCTGTCCCTCCCCCCCTCCCTGATTTTCCTCCCCCCCTCCCTGCTGTCCCTCCCCCCCTCCCTGCTGTCCCTCCCCCCTCCCTGCAGTCCCTCCTCCCCTCCTTGGGCCCGCTGTGCCCCCTGTCCTGTCTGAGTCCGTCTCTGTGCCAGCGTAGGCCCTCCCGCCTGTGCCCCCTCCCGTTGCTGCTGGGCTGTCAAGCGCCGTCGCACCTCCTCCAGGTGTGGGATGAGCGCCGTGTCCTCCACCCTGACCGCGAAACCCGCCTCGCGCGCGATGTCACGGAGGACGTACTTCACGGCGTTGTGGACGACCGTGGTGACGTGGTAGTGCTAACAGCGTACGACGTGGTGCGGCACCGACATGTCCTCGATCTCCCATCCGCACGAGCAGTGACCTGTAAGGGCTAACTGGGGGATAGACAGACCACGGTGAAAACATGAAGCCACCTGCCACCGCACCTCCGGGATGCGCAGTGGATCTGCATAAGGGACCGCCGTGAGCCACACGCCAGCATCTGCGCCCTGAAGGGATGTCAAATGGGCAAGATGCAAAAGGTCAGTGTGACGTCCACAAACGGACTCTAATGCCGCCGCCTCGAGATGCGGACTCACCTCAGAAAACAGACCATCCGGCGCGCTCGAGATGCAAGAGGACAAGGGTGGCAGCAAGGCTCGGACTGGTGGTGGGATGTCTGCCAAAGCTGTCGCGATGTGGGGGTCGATCCTTGCTGGGTCATCCGCAGCAAGCACCCGTCTGAAGGTCTCACCGATCTGTGGGAGGGAGCAGAGGATGGGGGCGCACTGCGCCCAGGAGCAGAGGTAGCTCGCTGGCGCCGCGCGCGCCATGCGGCAGATGCTGAATCCGCCCAGCCTGATGGGCAGAAATGCCTGGTCAAAGGCCGCGCCGCATATCTCTCCTCCTCCGCTCCAGGTGCCCGCGACGAATAGCCGCTGGAAGGCCTCGCCGAGGCCATCGTCCCAGTGCGTGAAGATGGAGCGCACCGCCTATGTGGGCGGGACCGTGCGCGCTAGGTACTGAGGGCGCGTGCGGACACATGCTGAGAGCAGGTTCGCAGCTACCTGGGGGTCTCGTAACCTAGGCAGCCATGGCAGCACTCGGGCCATCTGTTCGAGGCGCTCCCTGAGTCTCGTGTGGACAAAATCCTCCGTGCCAACAGGCACCTCCGCAACCGTCAAACCCCGGCACGCAACATCGAGGCCGAGGGCGGTGAAGCCTGCCAACTCCTCCGGTCATGTGGACGCCGTTGGGTAGACCAGACACTTGTGCACAACCACACTCATTTCCGACCGAGACCCCAAGTTCACCAGCAAGTTCTAGGAACTCATGTCTCTACTCGGCACCAAACTCGCCATGTCATCCGCATACCATCCGCAGACAGACGGACAGACCGAGCGCCTCAACCAAATTGTTGAGCAACTCCTCCGAGCAGCCTGCAAGGACGACATCTCCAAATGGGACTTGCACCTGCCCGTACTCGAGTTTGCTTACAACAATGCTACACATGCCGCTACTGGACAGACGCCGTTCTTCCTCTGCTACGGACGCCACCCACTCACACCACAAAAACCGACAGCATCAGCTACAGTCCAACCCGCACATGATTTCATTACAACCATGCACCAGCTTTGGGATCGGACCCACAAGCGCCTACTCGACATTCAACAGCAACAGAAGCGCCAAGCCGATCGCCATCGCAACGACCACACCATTTCCGTGGGAGACCAGGTTCTTCTTGACACCCGCAACCTGGACAGCAGCCATCTCCCATCTAAACTTCGACCTCGCTTCTGCGGGCCTTTTCTCGTTGAAGCACAGGTCACTCCTGTTACCTTCCGCTTACGCCTGCCAGCTACCTGGAAGATTCACAACGCCTTCCACGTCCAACTTCTGAAGCCCTATCGGGACCCGAACACAATTTTCGTCGGACGCCAACCGCCGCCGCCGCCGCCCGTCCTCGTCCAGAACGAACCCGAGTACGAGGTCGAGTCCGTGCTCGCACACCGCCGTCGTCGGAATGGCACCGTGGAGCTCCTTATCCGTTGGAAGGGTTATGATCCTTCTGAGGACAGCTGGGTACCTGAGTCCGACATGGGTAACGCCCGTCGTCCTCTGCATGACTACCTTGTCAAGCAGGGTGTTACTTCTACCACCCAGCTTTGAGGGGGGGAAGTGTGAGAGTACGACCCCGTTACACCACTTGGCCTTTTCTTATTTCCTTCCCTTTTCATTTCTTGTTTTACCGCATCTCATTTGGTTTCCTATTCTTCCTTTTCCATTAACCTTTGGTTTATCCTGCTATTATCATTATATCACCGACCAGGCTTGGGATGTATTGGTGTGCTCTATCTAGCGTAATCCTGCCGTAATCCCTTAAAGCCAATAGCCTCGCGTGGCTATACGCAGGGTGATTCTATCTTCTAGAAGGGTCTATTCCCTTAGGATAAGATAAACCTGGTTACCTGATGTACTCTGGAAGTATAAAAGCGCCTTGTACTGATCGATAGTGCAACTTTTCCTCGACACATTCGATCCTGTGACAGACGGCGAGCAGGGAAGGGATGGACGGCGAGCAGGGAAGGGACGCGTGCTGGGAGAGAGGGGTGACGCGCGAGGAGAGACGGGGGAAACGCCGGGCAGGAACGGATGGAAAACGGCGGGCAGGGAAGGAGATGAACGGCTGGCTAAGAAAAGGTAACCGTGGTGTCAGACTCAGCCGTGGTTCTCACCTAGTTTCGCGCAGGAAATACCGGAAGGGTACACTTAGTAAGAGGGGGGGAAATGATGTGGGTGCTTACCTAATGTCGAGCGCCTTGCGGGGGAGGTAAGGGCATTGTGAAAAACGATGTCGTGCAGAGGGACTATTTTAGGGTTAGGTGGCATGGCGTGGTTCTAAGCTTTAGAAGCTAAGAAGCGCGCAACGCGGCAGTCTAGGAGAGAGAGAGGGAGCGGAGTGGGAGGCGAGAGAGAGTGACGGGGGACTTTGCGGGGTGGGATGGCGAGATCGACAGGGGTGGCGAAAAAATTGCTCGACACCGCAGGGTCGTGTTCGCCGCCGCTTCCGTCTCACCCGCTCCTAGCCGTTGCCGATACCTTCCCTTTACACCTCCGATAGAAACACTTATAACAGCCTATGAAACAGTAAAGTGACGCGAGGGATGCCGAGGCGCGGTGGCGAGATCGAGGGGGTGGCGAAAAATCGATCGACCCCGCAGGGTCGCGTTCGCCGCCGCTTTGGACACACCCGCTCGTAGCCGTTGCCGATACCCTCCCGTTAGACCTCCCATGCAAACACTAATAACAGCTTACGAAACAGTAACGTGAACAGTAGCGTCTAGAAGGCTCCTTAGGAAGGTAGGTAGGTAACAAGGTCTAAGCGCCAGTGGGCGAGAGCAGTACTGGGCAGACTGACCTCCCGGGAAGTCCTCGTTTCGTACCCATTTGTTATGCCAGCTCTCTTGCGGGGGGTGGACAAGGGAAAGAAGAAAGGATATTTTGTGCGCCAATCCGCCCGGAAAAAACAAAAAAACAAAAAAAAACAAACAAACAAAACAAAACACACCATCCTGAAGGGGGTCGGGCCACGGAGGAGCCCTCAAACCATCTTAGGGCCGTTCCGGGGGGTGCCGGCGGACAGAGGATCCCTTTTGGCTCGTGCCGGGGCGATCTGACTATAATGAAGGGTAGTGTAGCTCGGGGGCCACCCGATAGTGAGCGCCCCGCGCACTCAGCGTGGTACGATCATACCTTGGCTACTACGCCGGATCCCATCAGAACTCCGAAGCTACGCGCCAGTTGGTGAGAGCAGTTATTTTATTAAGAACGAAGAGAATTACAAGTCATATAGCCAATATGAAACCGAAGTTGGAAATTTTGGCATGAATGTTAGGCTATATGACCATAGTAGTGTTTTTGGAAGTTAGGAAGAGAAGGGAAAGGAGAGAAGAGAAAGTAGAGAGGAAAAGATGAGAAGGGAAGGTAGAAAGAGAGGGAAAGAAAGAGAAGGATAGAAGAAGTACGAGGATCAAGAAAGATAGGAGTAACGGAAAAGAAAGAGGGAGGTGAGAGAGGTGGAAGAGAGGGGGGGTGTGACACGACACGACAAAGCAACAACCCGCGCCTACAGCGCAGACACAGCGTTTCAAGCACAGCCTACTCTTGTTTTGATCTACACATAGCCATCAAACAGGTACTGCATATCGGCCACACTGTCAAAGCAGCCACTGATGTGATGTCCGCTCCAGCTGCCTGCGCCAAGCGGTACCGGTATCGGCATCCATGCATCGTCCGACTCTCCCAGCTGTCGCACTGCATGCTGTGTGATAATGTTCGCCTGTGCACGCTGCAGCGCCACTGAAACTCGCGTGGTGAGAGCGCACTCAAAGATCCGAGCCGATGCCTCCTCCCCACTACCCGCGTCCCGCCGCTGCGTCGCTATGCGCTGTGAGCAGAGCCCCAGAAAATATCGCAGTGGCACGCTCAAGTGCCCGAAAGTCTCAGCAACGCATGCATAGAACATCGGCTCCGGCTGCACCCCTACCAAGGCCGGCCGCCAGTCCCTGATCTTATCCTGCACCCGCCTCGTCGCCGCCACCCCCCGCTGTGTGGATGCCGCTCGCCGAAACTGTGCGTTCCCACCCCGCTGTGGATCCGCTATCGACACGTCTATAATAATCATGAGTGCCTTCTCAGCGTCGCGGCATGTGAGGTCGGAGATGCGTGCGGGTGCTCCTGTGCGGCCTGCGCGTCCGGCTGTGCTGTGCTGCAGTGTGGGCTGCTGCCTAGTCGTGTCCCCTGGTCCCCCTCCTCCTTGTGCCATTGTCCCCCCCTCGTCCCCCTCTCTCACCCTCCCTTCCCTTTCCCTTGCCCCTACCCCTCCCAACCCCCCTGCCTCTCCTATCCCCTCCCCCAGACCCTCTCCATCTACCTGCCCCGCTCCTCCCGTCCTCCCCACTCCCTCGCCCCCCCCCGTCCCCCCTGCTATCCCCCCTCCCCTTGCCACTCTCTCGCCCTCCTGTGCCCCTGTCCCCCTGGCGGGGATCAAGCTCCACACCCCCTCTGGCCCCTCTAGCTGCCTCTGGCCTGTCCTGTGCTCGGTCCCCTGCTATCTGACCCCCTCCCTCGGCCATGACTATCTCCTCGATCTCCTCCCCCCCACCCCCCTGTGGTCGGGCTGCCCCCCCCTCTCCTGCGGTACCTTGAGTCCTTTCCCCCCAAGCCCCATCCGCCCTTCCCCCCTCCTGAGCCCCCCGTCTCCCTCGCCCCAGGCGCATCCCCTGGCCCTCCCTCAGCTGCGGCTGCTGCGGCTGTACCGTCCTGTTGTGTGAAGTGGGCTGTCCCTGTGGCCGTGGCCTCTGTCCAAGGACTCCCGCCTCTGTCCCCCGCGTCTGCGGCACCAGCCGTGCCTGCTGTCCCGTTTGTCCCGGCAGTCCCAACACTCCCTGCCGCCCTGGTGGTCCCCCCCCTCCCTCGTGTCCCTCCCCCCCACCCTGCTGCCCCTCCCCCCGTCCTTGCTGTCCCCCCCTCCCTCCGTGCTGTCCCTCCCCCCCTCCCTGCTGTCCCTCCCCCCCTCCCTGCTGTCCCTCCCCCCCTCCCTGCAGTCCCTTCTCCCCTCCCTGGGCCCTCTGGGCCCCCCGTCCTGTCTGAGTCCATCCCTGTGCCAGCATAGGCCCTCCCGCCTGTGCCCCCTCCCGCTGCTGCTGGGCTATCAATCGCCGTCGCACCTCCTCCAGGTGTGGGATAAGCGCCGTGTCCTCCACCCTGACCGCGAAACCCGCCTCGCGCGCGATGTCGCGGAGGACGTACTTCACAGCGTTGTGGTTGGTCGTGGTGACGTGGTAGTGCTGACAGCGTACGACGTGGTGGGGCACCGACATGTCCTCGATTTCCCGTCCGCACGAGCAATGACCTGTAAGGGCTAACTGGGGGATAGACAGACCAAGGCGAAAACATGAAGCCACCTGCCACTGCGCCTCCGGGATGCGCAGTGGATCTGCATAAGGGACCGCCGTTAGCCACGTGCCTGCATCTGCGCCCTGAAGGGATGTCAAACAGGCAAGACGCAAAGGGTCAGTGTGACGTCCACGAACGGACTCTAATGCCGCCGCCTCTAGATGCCTACTCACCTCAGAAAATATACCGTCCGGCGCGCTCGAGATGCAAGAGGACAGGGGTGGCAGCAAGGCCCGAACTGCTGGTGGGAGGTCTGCCAAAGCCGTCGCGATGTGGGGATCGATCCCTGCGGGGTCATCCGCCACGAGCGCCCATCTGAAGGACTCACCGATCTGTGGGAGGGAGCAGAGGATGGGGGCGCACTGCGCCCACGAACAGAGATAACTCACCGGGGCGATGCGCTCCATGCGTCGGATGCCGAAGCCCCCGATGCGAATCGGGAGGAAAGCCTGCTCCAGGGCTGCCTCGCAGATCGCGTCCCCCTCCTCCACATACCTCGCACCAGGAGCCGCTGGAAGGTCGCTCCCAAGCGCGCGTCCCACGCTGCAATGATGGCACGTACCTCTGGTGATGGGGGGACTGTTCGCGCCAAGTACTGCGGACGTGTGCTGACACACGCGGAGAGCAGGCGCGCCGCTGTCTGTGGCTGCCGTAGCCTCGGGAGCCACGGCAGCACCCCAGCCATCCTCTCCAATCGGTCCCGCAGGCTGGTCGTCACGAAGGTCTCGGTGCCAACCGGGACGCCCGTCACGGTGAGCCCCCGGCGTGCGACCTCGATGCCCAGATCGGTGAAAGCCTGCACGTCGAGAGGCAGGATCACCAACGTGTGATGGACAAGGCACTTGTGCGGCTGGACAGCAAGGCCCAACTCGCCCAAGCGCCTCACGACCTCCGTGAAGTGGTGCAGCACCCTGTCTGGAGGGCCCACGAGGTAGGTGTCGTCGACGTACGACCAGAGCTGGACGTCACCCCCTGCCAGGACGGGCTCCAGGGCAAGGCGCTATGTGAGGGCGTAGAGAAACGGGCTCAGCGGGTCTCCCTGCCGAGTGCCGCGCTCCGAGTGCATCGTGGTGACTCCCCTGCCAGTCCGATAGAGCTGATCGGACGGTGTGCTGCAGAACAGACGGATGAAAGGGATGAGACACATGAACTCAGGGCTGGCATGCAATGCCTGGAACAAGACGTCGCGAAAGAAAGAGTTAAAGGCGTTGGCCACGTCCAGCTGCAGAACCACCCAGCCTGGGTGGTCAGCTAGAGCGCGGACAACGCCTCTAACGGTGACCTCTGTGCCACACGTGACCCCGACTCCGAACTGCTGTGACGCGAGGAACACTCTCGCCATCTGGTCGCGGAGCTGGAGGCAGACTGCGCGGGAGAGGACGCGCACGAGCACCTCTCCAATGGCGATCGGCCGCACGTCCCCGTTCGGCTTCGCGAGAGCCACAAGGGTGGACGAGGCCAAAAGAGAACGCGCAGCTGAGGGGCAGCGTCCTCCGAGCCAGAGCTGGTACACAGACAGCAAGGAGGGTAGGGTCTGTGGGAATGCCAAGTAGGTGTCAGTCCAGTGCCGCGCACGCACGAGATGTCTCGTTGCACGCTGCCAAGTGCAGGCAACGCGCAATCCGACGCTCGTCTCCCGACGTGGCGGTGCCGGGGGTGCGACGTGATGTGCGGGTGGGCAGGGGCGTGCGACGACGCAGCGCGTCGGAGAAGAGAGAGTCCCACTCACCTCGGAAGAAGCGTGCGACGCGAGCCGCGATGGAAGCTGTGTGGCCCCGCTCTGGTGGAGTAGCCGGCGCTAAGAACAGCGTTGGCACTGCCGTGAACAAGAAGTGGGGCCCCTCGGCATCCGGATACTGCTCCATACGGACATCAGAGATGCCTCCGCGGACCCTCGGCGGAATGCGCCGGAGCGGGCGAGTATGCGTCCAGGACGGAGAGAAATAATCCCTCCAATCCACAGAGTCCAGCTGCGCCCACTGCGCGTCGGAAAAGATGGGGACAGATGAACTCGGACGTGAGAGTGACCCGCCGACCGAGGCGGCCTCCTGGCGGGCCTGCACGCGGCGTGCCTCATCGCTCGGGGTGTAGTGAGGTGTGTGGTGGCGGAGAGCTCTATCGTCCGCCATGAGGTTCAGACACGTGGGACATCTCACCTCATGGGCTGGCGTGGACTTGTCCGCGTGATCGGTGTAGGCGGTATCATCAGAGCTAGCGGTGGAGGCGGCCGGCTCGACGACCGGGTCCGGTCGATAGTCGCCCGCCATCGGGGAAGGAGGCTCACCTGCCACCTGGGGTCGGATGGGGGTCAGCGGCGGCGGCGATGTCGAAAGAGGGGGAGGGATCGGCGGGGGGCCCGAGGGCCTAGGTGCGGCCCCTGCATCCTGGGGGGAGGGGAGCGGGTGGTCGGGGGCCGCGTCGGAGTCATCGATCACCATGCGCTCCGGTGTGAGGGCGGTGGACGGGGGGGAAAGGGGGGCATGGGAGACGTCTGGAGCAGAGTCCACGGTGCCCCCCCCCACCCGACCCGGACAAGCGGGCGCAGAGGGGGTGGCGGACGTGTCCCATATCCTGAGAAGGTCGGCAACTGCCGCCTCCGTCTCCCCATCTGCCCCCTGCGACTGTCCGCCTGTGGGTAGGGGGAGCAGGGCAGGCTGGTTGGTCGTGGTGGGCGAACCACCGTGGGCCCTGACCTGGGTGGGAGGTTGTGGACCGGAGGGGGACAAAGAAGCGGGTGGTGGGGACCGACGCTGGGGGGGGATATAGGCTTGCTTGCGAGAGGCTAACGACACCTCTTCCGCCTCCGGTTCGATTTCCATCGCGGATGGGGCATCGGCGGTGACTGTTTGGTGGGGGGCCAAAGGCGGGATGGGGGGGTTACATGGGAGTGGGGCCTGGGTGGGGTGAGGGAGGGAGACCGTCTGAAGCTCGCCATCCTGGTTATGGGAGGGCAGTGGGTGGCGGGCCGGGGGCAATGATGGGGTCGCCTGAAGGGTGGTGGATGGTAAGGGCTGCACGCCAGCAGAGGGTGGAGTCGTGTCCGGCTGCTCCGAGCGCCAGGCTGCCCCGGGTGTCCCCGTGCCCTTGCCCCTCTTCCGGCGACCTGTGTGGGGTTGGGCAAACTGTCCAATCAGTGGCTGCCGTGTGACTGCCCCCTGCTGTGGGTGAGGAGTGTGAGAATGGGGCAGCTGGGAGGGTGAGGGGGTGTGGCCGCCGATGGCCGCTTGCCGCGGAAGGCTAGCCTACGCATGGATGGCGGCCTGCCCTGGGGCGGGTGCAGATGGGGACAGGGGGGGAAAGAGAGGGGTGGTGGCGGTGGTGGAATCGGCAGCACCATCCGCAATGCCCCGCCCTCCCCCGACACCTTCCCCGTCCCCTTCCCCCAGGGCGTCTGCCGACATCGCTGCCTGTGCGGAGCGACGGTAAGGGGGGATGTAGGGTTGGGAGGAGACATCATGCAGGTCCCCTACTCCTATTTTGTCGACGTCCATCGCGGATGGGTGGCTCGCTGCGACCACCTGAATACTGACGGGCAAGGAGTGTGTGGGGCAGGAAGGGGGAGGGTGAGATGGGGGGGTCGCCCTCGCCTCGCCCCTGTTCGCGCTGATGGGCCGGGCGGGAGTGGGCAGTAGGGTAAGGGTTAAGCGCGGGTGGGACGCTCAAGGGAGGGGGTGGGAAGGTTGGGTGCCCCAGCGCTGGGCTGGAGGGTGTGTGAGATGGAAGTGACAAGGGAGGGCCCAAGAGGGAGGCACTGCCGTGGTCGCCTGCCGTGCGGGACATGAAATCTGGGGGCTGCACGAAAGGGCGCGAGGGGAGTTCCGGCTGGATTGCCGGGGAAAGGGGGCGGGTGGGATGTGTGGGAGAGGGAGGGGGGGGGCGGGGCGCGAGCAAGGTAGGGCCCACGGCCGGGAAGGGAAGCAGAGTGGGCGCCGAGGGACCCCCGCCTTGCCCGAAGCTTAGCTGTGGGGCTTGGGAAGTGGGCTCAGCCGGGGTGAGACGGCGAGGGCCGAGAGGGAGTTGATTCGGGTTGCTCCCCCTTGCCGGGGGTGCACCCCGCTCACCGTTCCTATGGGAAGCGCCCGTGTGGCCGACAGGGTGTGTGCCCTGTGCCGGGCGGGAGGCACCTGGGGTGGAACAGGGTTGGGGGCGGACTGACGAGGGGGGTTGGGCAAGAGCCGCCCCTCCTTGTGCTACCCAGGTCGAGGCGTCCGGCGCGGCAGCCTGCGTGGGTGGGGGGGGGAGGGAGCAACCTGCCCGGCTGTTGTTTGTGCTCCTGGCGCCGGCACGAGGGCTGATGAGGGAGAGCATGGAAGGGTTGAGTCGACCAAGATATATCCGGCGAGCGGGCCATCATTGTCCGTGCCATCCTCGGCGGCCGCCTCCTGGGGCACACTCGGCTGTAAGTGGAGGGTGTGGGGGGAGAGGGAGTGGTGAGACTGCGTCCCGATCATTGGCTCGGGTGTACAGGGGTCCGCCAAAAACGCCAAGGCTCGGGCCGCCCCGCCCATAGCCCTGGGTTGTAGCCCACGGCGAGGGCCCTGCGCCGCTGGTGAAGCCCCTGCATGCATGGTGGGATTGGGAGTAGGGGGGGAAAGGGGGGGACGGGGGACCGCAAGGGAAGTAGGGGGAGGAGGGGAAGGAGGGGGGGGGAGGGGGGAGATGGGGGGGGTGGGAGGGGATGAGACAGTCTCTTCCGGCCCAGGTGCTGCCCTGTGTCCGGCCTCCTTAGCCCTCGTCCCAGTTACTGCCTTACCTTCAGCCGCTCCGGCTGCTGTCTCTCTCACCACACCTCCTGCTGGAGCCGCCACAGCTGCTGCCCTTCCTGCAGCGGCTCCAGCTGCCCTCTCTCGTGCAGCACCTCTTGCCGCTGCCCGTGTTGCTGCTGTTGCTGCCTTCCCTGCTGCCGCCCGAGCTGCCCTTCCTGTTGCTGCCATCCCCGCAGCTACCCCGGCGGTTGTCTCCCCCGCGGCACGCCCTGCTGATCCTGCTGCTGCCTTCCCTGCAGCCGCTTCCGCTGCTGCCCCCGGTGCGGCACCCCCTGCTGCCCCTTTTCCGCTGACACCACCGCAGCCGCCGCCGCCGCCGCTGCCGCCGCCGCCGCTGTCGCGGCCCTGCTAGCCGCTGCCTGCGAAACAGCGGGACTCATTGCTACTTTCCCTGCCGCTGCCCCCACTGCTGCCTTCCCTGCTGCAGCACTTGCTGCTGGTTTCCCTGTGGCGCTCCCCCTGGCTGCCTTCCCCGCAGCGGCCCCTATGTCTGCCTCCTCCGCTGCTGCCGCAGCAGCTGCCAGACGTGCATACATCCCCCCCCCGGTAATAGCCCGTGCGAGAGCGCGTACAACAGCTCCCTTTCCTGCCTCCTCCGCCGTAGGTAGCCTTGCCGCTGCTGCCGCCTCCGGCGGCTCTCCTATCCCTGTCGCACCAGCAGCCGCCCCTGCACGTGCTCCTGTTGCTGCTGCTGCCGCTGCTGCTGCTGCCGCCTCTGCCGTTGTCCCCGCCCCCGCCGCCTCAGAAGGGACTCCTTCGTCTGCTTCCCCGGCAGCCACCCTGGCCGCTGCAGCGGCTTCAGCCATCACCGCCTCTGCGGCATCCCGAGCCCCGGTCGCTGCGCCCCTCGCAAGATCGGCTGCTGCTGCCTCCTCTGCGGTGGCAGCTCCAGCTCCTGCCACTGTCGCCGCCTGCACCGCCGCTGCTCCCACCTCTGCCGCCTCTGCCGCCTCTGCAGGGGCGCCTGCTGTTGCTGCTGTCCCCAAATCCGCCCCGGCTGCCCCTGCGGCCCCTGCTGCTGCTGCCTCTGCCGCATCCCGAGCCCGAGCCCGAGCCCGAGCCGATGCACCCCTTGCATGATCCACTGCTGCCGCCTTTTCCGTGGAGGCCCCAGCTGTTGCCGCCGCTGCCCATGCTCCCGCTGCCACCGTCTCTGCTGCAGCCCCAGCTGCTGCTGCCGCCGCCGCGACCACCCCCCGGCTGCTGCCAACTCTGGAGCGGCCCCACCCCCAGCGGCTGCTACCTCTGCAGGGTCTCCTTCTGCCGCCCCCGTTGCAGCCGGCCCAGGTGCCTGCGCCTCTGCCCGTGCTGGAGCTGCTGCCACTTCTGCAAAGGCCTTTGCGGCAGCCCCCACAGCCGCCCCTCCCACCATGGCTGTCGTTCCTCCCCCTGCGGCTACAGCCCGTGCTGCTGCCGCCTCTGCAGCCGCCTTTTCCACCTTCCCCCATGCAGCCTCTCCAGCCTCTGCCTCTGCCATAGCAGCTTCCGCTGGAGTACCCCCTGTGGTGACTCCTGCGGCAGCCTCCTTTGCGGCGGTCCTGATGGCTGCCACTGTTGCAACCGCCCCTGCAGTTGCCACACCTGCAGCCTCTCCTGCTGCTGCCTCCGGCGCCGCACCACATGCGGCCATGGACTGCGCATAGGCCCGGGCCATACCCTCTAATGCTGCCCTCTCTACCCCAGCCCGTGCCACCTCCCCCTCCGCCTCCGCTCCAGCTGCCGCTCCTGCCAACCCCACAGCTCCCGTCGCTGGCTCCCCTGCTGAGGACACGGCCTCGAGCCTGGCTGCGCTAGGAGCGGGTGCTATGAGCTCAACTACGTCCTCATCCGAGTCCTCGGCGCCCTCCAAAACCCAATCCGAGTCCTTCGCGTTGTCCCCATCCGAGTCCCCGGCCTCGTCCCACTCTGAGTCCTCACCAGCCCCCACCGTCTCTGCCGATCTTTCCCCCTCCGCCCTCTCCGTCACCCCCACTTTCACCTCCCACACCCCCCTCTCTGCTGCCACCTCTGCAGGACCCCCCGGTGCTGCCGCATCCCCATCCCCTGCCACAGGCCCTGCTGCGGCCTCACCTGTGCCAGCCTTGCTACCTGTGGCCATGGGTGTGGAGGAGGTGGGGGCTCTCCTGGCGCTAGTGTTGGCCTGTGGGAGTGGCGGAGGGGGGGCAGATGACTTTTTGCGACCATGGGAGCGCGAGCGTGTGGCTTCGCGCTCCTCCTTCTCCAGGCGTGAGGCGGGGCCTTCCTCTGCCTTCTCCCGTGGTCGTTTCCGGCCTCGCGAGGCAGAGCGCACCTGGTCCCCGCCCTTGCCGACGGTCACCTCGACGCGGGCTGGCGGGGCGATACTATTGGGTGGGGGGATGGAAGATGATGAGTAGGGGGAAGGGCGGAAACTGGAGCGGGAAGATTTCGAGGGAGGAAACTGACGTGTGATTTGGTGGGAGCAAGGAGGGGAAAGTCAGAGGGCAAGGGGCAGAAAAGCAGTGAGGGAAGGGGAGAAACGCATTGGACAAAGAGGCGAAGAGCAACGGGTAAGGGGGGGAAGTCAGCGGGCTAGGGGGGAAAGTCGGTGGGCAACGGAGGAAGTGTAGAGGGCAAGGAGGGGAACAGCAGTTGGCAAACGAGAAGAAGTGGTGGGCAATGGGGGAAAGGCAGTGGGCAATGGGTGAGAAATCGTGGGCAAGGGGGGGAGAAGCAGTGGGCAATGGGGGAGAAGTAGTGGGCAAGGGGGAGAAGTCGTGGGCAAGGGGGAGAGGGAGGGAAACAGGGGGAAAGGAGAGGAAAGCAGGATAGAATACGAGGGGGAAACAACGGGAAAAAACAGCCGCCAAGGGGAGGAAGGGCAGCGGCAAGTGGGGAAAGGGCAGCTGCAAGGGGGGGAACAGCAGTGGGAAAGTGGCGGAAAAGCAGGGGGCAAGTGGGGGAAGGCAGGGGGGAAAAGTAGCAGTGGGCAGCAAGGAGAAAAATAGAAGGCAAGGGGGGGAACAGCAGTGGGCCAGGGGGGGGGCAGTGGGCACGGGGGGGAAAATCAGTGGGAGAAGAGGGGAAAAGCAGTGGGCACGGGGGGAAGATGAGTGGGCCAGGGGGGAAAATCACGGGGCACGTAGGGACAAGCAGTGGGCAAGGAGAGAAAATGAGTGGGCAAAGGGGGACGAGCAGTGGGCAAGGAGGGGAACAGCAGTGGGCCAGGGGGGGAAACGTGGTGGGCCCGGGGGGTGGGATGGGGGAAACAGGGGGCAGGCAACGGGGGAACAGTGGGAGAGATAGCAGAGAACGGGGGGGAGGGGTGGGGGAGACAGGGAGATACTAGGGGGAAACTTGAGGGAGTGTAGGGGGAAGCATGGCGGGGAAGGAGGGGGGACCAGGGAGGGAGTAGGGGAAGCCCGGACAAGAAGTGCGGGGGGGACAGGCAGGAAGGTAGGGGGGCCGGCGAGCTGGGAAGGAAAGTATGGCGGGCGGGGAGGTCTGGGACAGCGGGTGGGCGATTGGGGAGAACAGCGGGCAGGGGAGTGCGGGACGGCGGGCAGATAACGGGGGAACAGCGGGCAGGGAAGCGGGGGAGCAGCGGGCAGGGGAGCGGGGGAGCAGCGGGCAGGGAATCGGGGGAGCAGAGGGCAGGGGAGCGGGGAAGAGCAGCAGCTAGGGGGGGAAAGGTAGCGGCAAGGGGGGGAAAAGCAGCGGCAAGGGGGGGAAAAGCAGCAGCAGGGGGGGGAAAGACGGCGGCAAGGGGGGGGGGGGAACACAGCGGCAAGAAGGGGAAAGGGATTTAGGGGAAGAGGGGAAGAGGGGACGGCGAGCAAGGGACGAGGGAACAGCGAGCAGGGGAAGAGGGGACCCCGAGCACGGGAAGGAAATGAGTGCCGTGCTGGGCGGCGGGTTGGGACGTGGGGGAGCAGCGGGCAGGGAAGTGAGAGGCGGCCACGGGATTGGGGGGAACGGTGGGCAGGGCAGAAGGGGAAACGGCGAGCTGTGGGGGAGGGGGAAGCGGCGAGCTGTGGGGGAGGGGGAAGCGGCGAGCTGTGGGGGAGGGGGAAGCGGCGAGTTGGACAGAGGGCGAGGACAAAGAAAGGAGGGAAAACGGTCGGAAGGGAAGAAGGTGAATGGCGCACCAAGAAATTCGGAACGGCGTACAAGGGGGGAGGGGGGAAGCTACGGGCAAGGGGGAAAAACAGTGGGCAAGGGGGGGGAAAACAGGGGCAAGGGAGGGAAAAGCAACTGGCGAGGGGGGAACGAGCAGCGGCTTAGGGTGGAAAAGCTGCGAGCAAGGGGGGGAATGACAACGGGCAAGGGGGGGAAATGCAGGGGCCGGGGAGGGAAAAGCAAGAGGCAAGGCGAGGGGGGAAAGCAGCGGCAAGGGGGGAAAGCGGCGAGGGGGGAAAGCAGCGGACGAGGGGAGAAAGCAGCGGCAAGGGGGGAAAGCAGCCGCAAGGGGGGAAAGCGGCGGGCGATGGGAGGAAAAGCCGCGGGCAGAGGAAAAGCAAAAACAAAGAAACACACCATCCTGAAGGGGGTCGGGCCACGGAGGAGCCCTCAACTCAACCTAGCGCCGTTCCGAGGGGGGCCGGCGGACAGAGGATCCCTTTTGGCTCGTGCCGGGGCGATGTGACTATAATGAAGGGTAGTGTAGCTCGGGGGCCACGCGGTAGTGAGCGCCCCGCGCACCCAGCGTGGTACGATCATACCTTGACTACTACGCCGGATCCCATCAGAACTCCGAAGCTAAGCACCAGTGGGTGAGAGCAGTGTTCTCATTAAAAATGAAGAGGGTTACAAGTCATATAGCAATTCTAAAGCCAAAGATGAGATTTTTGGCATGAGCGTTGCGCTATTATGACACAGTAGCGTTTAGAGGTATAGAAGAGAAAAAGAGAGAGAGAAGAGATAGAGAAGGAAAGAGAGAGAAGATAGTGGAAGGAAGAAGGTAGCAGAAAGAGTGGGGGAGAAGAGAGCGAGAAAGAGGAGAGAAAGAGAAGAGGGGAAGAGGGGAGGGGGGGTGTGACTATATCAAAGGGACATCCTGGGACCTAACAAAACAACAGCCCACGCGCACAGCGCGGGCACAGCGTCTCAAGCACGGCCTATATATGTTCTTTTTTTTTTACACATATGCATCATACATGTACTGCATATCTGCTGCACTCTCGAAGCACCCTGTGATGTGGTGCCAACTCCCCTGCCCAGCGCCCAAAGGTACAGGTGCTGGCATCCATCCATTGTCGGAGCCGCCCAGCTGCCGCACTGCATGCTGCATGATCACATTTGCCTGCGCGCGCTGCAGTGCCACGGAGAGACGCGTAGTGAGGCTCGTCTCAAATATCCGTGCCGACCCGTCATCCCCTGCCCCTGAATCTCTCCTCCGCCGTGCTGTCCGCGATGCACACAGCCCTAGGAACTGCCGCAGTGGCTCACTCAGGCACCCAAAAGTCTCCACTACGCAGGCGTAAAACTCTGGATCCAGCTGCAACCCCTGTAACACCGGCCTCCAGTGTCACAGCTTGTCCTGCACCCGCCTAGCTGCTGCGCCGCCAATCCGAGTGGGTGCCATCCGCCTGAACTGCGCATTCCCCTCCCGCTGTGGGTCTGCCACCGAGACGTCTACAATCACCATCAATGCATCTTGCGGCGCCCTGCAGGTGAGGTCGGGAATGCGGGCGGGTGCCCCTATGCGGCCTGTGCGAGCGGCTGGCGTCTGCTGCTGCTGCGCGGGCTGCTGCTCTGTCTGGTCCCCTGATGCCCCCCCTCTGGTCGTCGTGGTCCCCCTCCCAACTCCCCCTCTCACCCTCCCTCTCCTCCCTCCCGCTCTCCCCTCCCCCACTCCCCCTGCCACCCCCGCCCCTTCCGCCATCTCCTCTCTCCCTCCCGCCCCCCCTCCCTCCCGCCCTCCGTCCCTCCTATACCCCCGCCTACTACCGACCCCTCTAGCCCACCCTCGCCAGTCCTCCCCTCCGCGTGCGCCTCTCCTACCGCCTCGCGCGCGAAACGCACACGCCTCGGTGGTGCCCTGCCCAAGAGCCCGTCCCCTGTCCCCTGCTGCTGTCCCGCCTGGGCCCCCTGCTGCGGCCCTGCCTGAGCTGCATGCGGCTGCTGTACCTGCCCCTCTCCCCCCGCGCGCCGCTGCTGCCCCTCTCCGCCACCCTGCCGCTGCTGCTGCTGCTCCTCCTCCCGCCGGCTCTCCCCCGTGCCCTGCTGCTGCTGCTGCCGCTGATCCTCCCTGCCGAACCGCCGCTGCTGCCCCTCCTGCTCCTCCTCCGCCCCCTGCCTCTCTCCCTCCTCACCCGCCTGCCTCTCCCCCCCCTCCTGATCCCGCCGCTGCTGCCGTCCTCTCTGTCCTGCCCGCTCCTGCCCCTGCCCCTCCCCCGCGTGCAAAACCTGCAGTCGAGCTCGCGCCGCCTCCAGGTGCGGAATGAGCGCCGTGTCCTCCACCTGGACAGCGAAGCCTGCCTCGTCCGCGAAGTCACGAAGCATGAACTTCATTGTGTCGTGGATGGTCGTGGCGACCGCGAAGCGCGCGCACCTCACCGCGTGATGCGGCACCGACATGTCGGCGATCTCCTCTCCGCAGGAGCACTGACCTGCCAGGACTAACTGGGGAATGGGGAGACCGAGACGAAAGCATGAAGCCACCTGCCACTGCGCCTCCGGAATGCGCAGGGAGTCCGCGTAGGGTACCGCCGTAAGCCAAGCTCCCGCACCTGGACCCTGAAGGGATGTCAAACGGGCAAGATGCAGGGGATCAGTATCACGGGCACGTACCGACTCCAAAGCGTGCGCCTCGATGTGTCTGCTGGCCTCTCTGAAAAGGCCGTCCGGTGCTCCTGTCGCGCAAGAAGGCCAGGCCGGCATGAGGCGTAGGACGTCCGCCGGCAGGGCCTCCTGAGCCATCATGATGTGCGGATCGATCTGGGCGGGCTCACCTGATGCGAAGCTCTGACGGAAGCCCTCCTCCACCGACGGCAACGAGCAGAGAATCGGTGCGCACTGCGCCCACGAACAGAGATAACTCACCGGGGCGATGTGCTCCATGCGTCGGATGCCGAAGCCCCCGATGCGAATCGGGAGGAAAGCCTGCTCCAGGGCTGCCTCGCAGATCGCGTCCCCCTCCCTCCACATACCTCGCACCAGGAGCCGCTGGTAGGTCGCTCCCAAGCGCGCGTCCCACGCTGCAATGATGGCACGTACCTCTGGTGATGGGGGGACTGTTCGCGCCAAGTACTGCGGAAGTGTGCTGACACACGCGGAGAGCAGGCGCGCCGCTGTCTGTGGCTGCCGTAGCCTCGGGAGCCACGGCAGCACCCCAGCCATCCTCTCCAGTCGGTCCCGCAGGCTGGTCGTCACAAAGGTCTCGGTGCCAACCGGGACGCCCGTCACGGTGAGCCCCCGGCATGCGACCTCGATGCCCAGATCGGTGAAAGCCTGCACGTCGCGAGGCAGGATCACCGACGTGTGATGGACAAGGCACTTGTGCGGCTGGACAGCAAGGCCCAACTCGCCCAAGCGCCTCACGACCTCCGTGAAGTGGTGCAGCACCCTGTCCGGAGGGCCCAGGAGGTAGGTGTCGTCGGCGTACGACCAGAGCTGGACGTCACCCCCTGCCAGGACGGGCTCCAGGGCAAGGCGCTGCGTGAGGGCGTAGAGAAACGGGCTCAGCGGGTCTCCCTGCCGAGTGCCGCGCTCCGAGTGCATCGTGGTGACTCCCTTGCCGGTCCGATAGAGCAGATCGGACGGCGTGCCGTAAAAAAGACGGATGAATGGAATGAGGCACCTGAACTCAGGACTGGCATGCAGTGCCTGGAACAAGACGTCGCGAAAGAAAGAGTTAAAGGCGTTGGCCACGTCCAGCTGCAGAACCACCCAGCCTGGGTGGTCAGCTAGAGCGCGGACAACACCTCTAACGGTGACCTCTGTGCCACACGTGACCCCGACTCCGAACTGCTGTGACGCGAGGAACACTCTCGCCATCTGGTCGCGGAGCTGGAGGCAGACTGCGCGGGAGAGGACGCGCACGAGCACCTCTCCAATGGCGATCGGCCGCACGTCCCCGTTCGGCTTCGCGAGAGCCACAAGGGTGGACGAGGCCAAAAGAGAACGCTCAGCTGAGGGGCAGCGTCCTCCGAGCCAGAGCTGGTACACAGACAGCAAGGAGGGTAGGGTCTGTGGGAATGCCAAGTAGGTGTCACGGAGGTGTTCTGCCACCCATCCGGTCGATCCCCCCGACGAGCCCCTTGGTGCAGTGAAAATGGCCTGGCGCAAGTGGGTGGCAGAGAGCACGAGGCCGTCCTCGTGGAAGGTGGAGAGCCACTCCGGTAGAGGGCGCTCCGCGCTAGGGTGCTTAGCCCGTAGGCTATGCACCGTGCGATCCGTGTCTGGAGCCGCCTCGGCCGACTCCAGTGCCGCGCACGCACGAGATGTCTCGTTGCACGCTGCCAAGCGCAGGCAACGTGCAATCCGACGCTCGTCTCCCGACGTGGCGGTGCCGGGGGTGCGACGTGATGTGCGGGTGGGCAGGGGCGTGCGACGACGCAGCGCGTCGGAGAAGAGAGAGTCCCACTCACCTCGGAAGAAGCGTGCGACGCGAGCCGCGATGGAAGCTGTGTGGCCCCGCTCTGGTGGAGTAGCCGGCGCTAAGAACAGTGTCGGCACTGCCGTGAACAAGAAGTGGGGCCCCTCGGCATCCGGATACTGCTCCATACGGGCGGTGATCGCGCGGAGGACATCAGAGATGCCTCCGCGGACCCTCGTCGGAATGCGCCGGAGCGGGCGAGCATGCGTCCGGGACGGAGAGAAATACTCCCTCCAATCCACAGAGTCCAGCTGCGCCCACTGCGCGTCGGAAAAGACCGGGACAGATGAACCCGGGCGTGAGAGTGACCCACCGACCGAGGCGGCCTCCTGGCGGGCCTGCACACGGCGTGCCTCATCGCTCGGGGTGCAGTGAGGTGTGTGGTGGCGGAGAGCTCTATCGTCCGCCATGAGGTTCAGACACGTGGGACATCTCACCTCATGGGCTGGCGTGGACTCGTCCGCGTGATCGGTGTGGGCGGTATCGTCAGAGCTGGCGGTGGAGGCGGCCGGCTCGACGACCGGGTCCGGTCGATAGTCTCCCGCCATCAGGGAAGGAGGCTCACCTGCCACCTGGGGTCGGACGGGGGTCAGCGGCGGCGGCGATGTCGAAAGAGGGGGAGGGATCGGCGGGGGGCCCGAGGGCCTAGGTGCGGCCCCTGCATCCTGGGGGGAGGGGAGCGGGTGGTCGGGGGCCGCGTCGGAGTCATCTATCACCATGCGCTCCGGTGTGAGGGCGGTGGACGGGGGGGAAGGGGGGGCATGGGAGATGTCTGGAGCAGAGTCCACGGTGCCCCCCCCCACCCGACCCGGACAAGCGGGCGCAGATGGGGTGGCGGACGTGTCCCATATCCTGAGAAGCTCGGCAACTGCCGCCTCCGTCTCCCCATCTGCCCCCTGCGACTGTCCGCCTGTGGGTAGGGGGAGCAGGGCAGGCTGGTTAGGACAAAGAAGCGGGTCCGACGCAGGGGGGGGATATAGGCTTGCTTGCGAGAGGCTAACGACACCTCTTCCGCCTCCGGTTCGATTTCCATCGCGGATGGGGCATCGGCGGCGACCGTCTGGTGGGGGGCCAAAGGGGGGATGGGGGGGTGACAGGTAGATATGATCAAAACGCGATTGCGATTTAAATCGCATCGCATGCAGGTGCGATGTTTAAAAAAGCGATGCGATTTTAAATCGCATCGCGCGATTTATTTTTCCAAAAAAAAAAATCGCACATCTCATTTTACCCGCGATGTATAAATAAATCGCATGTGATATTTAATTAAATCGCAAAATGCGATTTTCAATCGCATCTCGTTTTAAAACAGAATTAAAAAACACCCCAAAAAAACAGGAAAAAACCATGGCTGTGGGGAAATTGACTTACGGACAGTCGTAAGATAGAGTGCAAATAACCAGTGTGGTTTCGTAGTGGGTTTCAGAGTGGGTTTCAATGCAATATCGCGCGTGATTTTTAAAAAATCGCATATCGCATTTAAATCGCGTTTTTTAAGCGCGATTAAAATGCGATTTAAATTAAATCGCGCGATATTAATTCATCGCATCGCGCGATTATTTAAAAAAAAAAAAAACATCGCCATCGCAAAAACGCGATTAAATGCGATGCGATGCGATTATTTTTTCCCATGTCTAGTGACAGGGGAGTGGGGCCTGGGTGGGGTGAGGGAGGGAGACCGTCCGAAGCTCGCCATCCTGGTTATGGGAGGGCAGTGGGTGGCGGGCCGGGGGCAATGATGGGGTCGCCTGAGGGGTGGTGGCTGGTAAGGGCTGCACGCCAGCAGAGGGTGGAGTCGTGTCCGGCTGCTCCGAGCGCCGGGCTGCCCCGGGTGTCCCCGTGCCCTTGCCCTTCTTCCGGCGACCTGTGTGGGGTTGGGCAAACTGTCCAATCAGCGGCTGCCGTGTGACCGCCCCCTGCTGTGGGTGAGGAGTGTGAGAATGGGGCAGCTGGGAGGGTGAGGGGGTGTGGCCGCCGATGGCCGCTTGCCGCGATGGGCTAGCCTGCGCATGGATGGCGGCCTGCCCTGAGGCGGGTGCACATAGGGACAGGGGGGGAAAGAGAGGGGTGGTGGCGGTGGTGGGATCGGCAGCACCATCCGCAATGCCCCGCCCTCCCCCGACACCTTCCCCGTCCCCTTCCCCCTGGGCGTCTGCCGACATCGCTGCCTGTGCGGAGCGACGGTAAGGGGGGATGTAGGGTTCGGAGGAGACATCATGCAGGTCCCCTACTCCTATTTTGTCGACGTCCATCGCGGATGGGTGGCTCGCTGCGACCACCTGAATACTGACGGGCAAGGAGTGTGTGGGGCAGGAAGGGGGAGGGTGAGATGGGGGGGTCGCCCTCGCCTCGCCCCTGTTCGCGCTGATGGGCCGGGCGGGAGTGGGAGGGCAGGGCAAGAGAGGTGGTTGGGCAGTAGGGTAAGGGTTAAGCGCGGGTGGGACGCTCAAGGGAGGGGGTGGGAAGGTTGGGTGCCCCAGCGCTGGGCTGGAGGGTGTGTGAGACGGAAGTGACAAGGGAGGGCCCAAGAGGGAGGCACTCCCGTGGTCGCCTGCCGTGCGGGACATGAAACCTGGGGGCTGCACGAAAGGGCGCGAGGGGAGTTCCGGCTGGATTGCCGGGGAAAGGGGGCGGGTGGGATGTGTGGGAGAGGGAGGGGGGGGGCGGGGCGTGGGCAAGGTAGGGCCCACGGCCGGGAAGGGAAGCAGAGTGGGCGCCGAGGGACCCGCGCCTTGCCCGAAGCTTAGCTGTGGGGCTTGGGAAGTGGGATCAGCCGGGGTGAGACGGCGAGGGCCGAGAGGGAGTTGATTCGGGTTGCTCCCCCTTGCCGAGGGTGCACCCCGCTCACCGTTCCTATGGGAAGCGCCCGTGTGGCCGACAGGGTGTGTGCCCTGTGCCGGGCGGGAGGCACCTGGGGTGGAACAGGGTTGGGGGCGGACTGACGAGGGGGGTTGGGCAAGAGCCGCCCCTCCTTGTGCTACCCAGGTCGAGGCGTCCGGCGCGGCAGCCTGCGTGGGTGGGGGGGGGGAGGGAGCAACCTGCCCGGCTGTTGTTTGTGCTCCTGGCGCCGGCGCGAGGGCTGATGAGGGAGAGCATGGAAGGGTTGAGTCGACCAAGATATATCCGGCGAGCGGGCCATCATTGTCCGGGCCATCCTCGGCGGCCGCCTCGTGGGGCACACTCAGCTGTAAGGGGAGGGTGTGGGGGGAGAGGGAGTGGTGAGACTGCGTCCCGATCATTGGCTCGGGTGTACAGGGGTCCGCCAAAAACGCCAAGGCTCGGGCCGCCCCGCCCATAGCCCTGGGTTGTAGCCCACGGCGAGGGCCCTGCGCCGCTGGTGAAGCCCCTGCATGCATGGGATTGGGAGTAGGGGGGGGAAGGGGGGGACGGGGGACCGCAAGGGAAGTAGGGGGAGGAGGGGAAGGAGGGGGGGGGAGGGGGGAGATGGGGGGGGTGGGAGGGGATGAGACAGTCTCTTCCGGCCCAGGTGCTGCCCTGTGTCCGGCCTCCTTAGCCCTCGTCCCAGTTACTGCCTTACCTTCAGCCGCTCCGGTTGCTGTCTCTCTCACCACACCTCGTGCTGGAGCTGCCGCAGCTGCTGCCCTTCCTGCAGCGGCTCCAGCTGCCCTCTCTCGTGCAGCACCTCTTGCCGCTGCCCGTGTTGCTGCTGTTGCTGCCTTCCCTGCTGCCGCCTCAGCTGCCCTTCCTGTTGCTGCCATCCCCACAGCTACCCCGGCGGTTGTCTCCCCCGCGGCGCGCCCTGCTGATCCTGCTGCTGCCTTCCCTGCAGCCGCTTCCGCTGCTGCCCCCGGTGCAGCACCCCCTGCTGCCCCTTTTTCCGCTGACACCACCGCAGCCGCCGCCGCCGCCGCCGCCGCCGCCGCCGCCGCCGCCGCTGTCGCGGCCCTGCTGGCCGCTGCCTGCGAAACAGCGGGACCCATTGCTACTTTCCCTGCCGCTGCCCCCGCTGTTGCCTTCCCTGCCGCAGCACTTGCTGCTGGTTTCCCTGTGGCGCTCCCCCTGGCTGCCTTCCCCACAGCGGCCCCCATCTCTGCCTCCTCCGCTGCTGCCGCAGCAGCTGCCAGACGTGCATACATCCCCCCCCCGGTAATAGCCCGTGCGAGAGCGCGTACAACAGCTCCCTTTCCTGCCTCCTCCGCCATAGGTAGCCTTGCCGCTGCTGCCGCCTCCGGCGGCTCTCCTATCCCTGCCGCACCAGCAGCCGCCACTGCACGTGCTCCTGTTGCTGCTGCTGCCACTGCTGCTGCTGCAGCCTCTGCCGTTGTCCCCGCCCCCGCCGCCTCAGAAGGGACTCCTTCGTCTGCTTCCCCGGCAGCCACCCTGGCCGCTGCAGCGGCTTCAGCCATCACCGCCTCTGCTGCAGCCCCAGCTGCTGCTGCCGCCGCCGCGACCACCCCCCCGGCTGCTGCCAACTCTGGAGCGGCCCCACCCCCAGCGGCTGCTACCTCTGCAGGGTCTCCTTCTGCCGCCCCCGTTGCAGCCGGCCCAGGTGCCTGCGCCTCTGCCGGTGCTGGAGCTGCTGCCACTTCTGCAAAGGCCTTTGCGGCAGCCCCCACAGCCGCCCCTCCCACCATGGCTGTCGTTCCTCCCCCTGCGGCTACAGCCCGTGCTGCTGCCGCCTCTGCAGCCGCCTTTTCCACCTTCCCCCATGCAGCCTCTCCTGCTCTGCCTCTGCCATAGCAGCTTCCGCTGGAGTACCCCCTGCGGTGACTCCTGCGGCAGCCTCCTTTGCCGCGGTCCTGATGGCTGCCACTGTTGCAACCGCCCCTGCAGTTGCCACACCTGCAGCCTCTCCTGCTGCTGCCTCCTTCGCCGCACCACATGCGGCCATGGACCGTGCATAGGCCCGGGCCATACCCTCTAATGCTGCCCTCTCTACCCCAGCCCGTGCCACCTCCCCCTCCGCCTCCGCTCCAGCTTCCGCTCCTGCCAACCCCACAGCTCCCGTCGCTGGCTCCCCTGCTGAGGACACGGCCTCGAGCCTGGCTGCACTAGGAGCGGGTGCTATGAGCTCAACTACGTCCTCATCCGAGTCCTCAGCGCCCTCCAAAACCCAATCCGAGTCCTTCGCGTTGTCCCCATCCGAGTCCCAGGCCTCGTCCCACTCTGAGTCCTCACCAGCCCCCACCGTCTCTGCCGATCTTTCCCCCTCCGCCCTCTCCGTCACCCCCACTTTCACCTCCCACACCCCCCTCTCTGCTGCCACCTCTGCAGGACCCCCCGGTGCTGCCGCATCCCCATCCCCTGCCACAGGCCCTGCTGCGGCCTCACCTGTGCCAGCCTTGCTACCTGTGGCCATGGGTGTGGAGGAGGTGGGGGCTCTCCTGGCGCTAGTGTTGGCCTGTGGGAGTGGCGGAGGGGGGCGCTAGTAATGACTTTTTGCGACCATGGGAGCGTGAGCGTGTGGCTTCGCGCTCCTGCTTCTCCAGGCGTGAGGCGGGGCCTTCCTCTGCCTTCTCCCGTGGTCGTTTCCGGCCTCGCGAGGCAGAGCGCACCTGGTCCCCGCCCTTGCCGACGGTCACCTCGACTCGGGCTGGCGGGGCGATACTGTTTGGTGGGGGGATGGAAGACGATGAGTAGGGGGAAGGGCGGCTACCGGCTCTGCCTGACCGTCGGAGAGCACCGGGGCCGCCCTCCCCCCCATTGCAGGGGGTGTGGGTCATGGCCACGGGGACTGCATGCTAGAAGAGGGGGAGGAGGGGGAGGCAGGGGGGGAAGGGAGGGAGGAAAACAGCGGGGAAAGAAGGTGAGATCAGGGAAACTGCGTGGAGTGGGGAGGGGGACAGGGGGGGGAGGATAGGGAGAGAACAGGGGGCGGCGATTAGAGGAGGGTTATGGCGCTCGACTGTGGGGAGACGTACGGGGGGGAAGGTGGGGAAACGGGGATAGGACAAGATGGAAAGAAACAGCCTGCAGGGACAGGGGGAACTGGAAGGAGAGGGGGGGGAGGAGTGAAGAGCACCGGGTGTGGGGCGGGACGATTTCGGGGGTGGAAACTGACGTGTGAGTTGGTGGGAGCAAGGGGGGGAAAATCAGAGGGCGAGGGGCGGAAAAGCAGCGAGGAAGAGGGAGAAAACGCACTGGGTAAAAGAGGCGAAGAGCAGTGGGCAAGGGGGGGAAATCAGTGGGCCAGGGGGAAGGTCAGTGGGCAGCGGGGGAAGAGGAGAGGGCAGGGCGGGGAGCAGCATTGGGCAATGGGGAGGAAGGGGGTGGGCAAGGAGGGGAAAGGCAGTGGGCAATGGGGGGAGGAATGGTGGGCGAGGGGGGAAAAGCAGTGGGCAATGGGGGAAAAGTAGTGGGCTAGGGGGAAGGGAGGGGGAAACAAGGGGAAAAGAGTGGAAAGCAGGATAGAATACGAGGGGAAACAACGGGGGACAGTAGGGGAGAGCGGGCGGGGATAAGAGTGGGGGAACCAAGGGGGGAAGGGGGGGAGGAACACGAAGATAATGGGGGAAAGCGGGGGGGGAAGTGGGTAATCAAAGGAGAGGGTCGGGAGTGGAGAGAGGACCGGAGGATGGGTGGGACCCAATGGGCAGCAAAACGGGCAGGGGGGGAAGAACAGCGGGGAGGCGGGGGGGAAAGCAGCGGGAACACAGGGGGGGGGGGAAGCAACGGGCCAGGGGGGGAATGGCGGCGGGCAAGGGAGGAGAAGCAGCGGACCAGGGGGGAAAGCAGCTGGCAATGGGCGAATAACAGCGGGCAAGGGGGGGAAAGCAGGGGCAAGAGAGGGTAAAGCAGCGGGCAAGGGGGGGAGAATCAGCGGGTAAGGGGGGAAGACGAGCGGCAAAGGGGGAAAAGCAACAGGCAAGGGGGGGGAAAGGCAACTGGCAAGGGTGGGAAAGGCAACGGGCAAGCAACAGGCCAGTGGGAAAAGCAGCAGGCCAGGGGGAGAAGCAGCGGGTAATGGGGGGAAAATAACAGCGGGCAATGGGGGGGAAAGGTAGGGCCAAGGGAGGGGAAGGCAACGGGCAAAGAGGGGAAAACAGCGGGCAAGGGGTGGGACAAGCGGCGGACAAGGGGGGGATAACAGCGGGCGAGGGGGGGAAAAGCAGGGGCAAGGAAGGGAAAAGCAACTGGTGAGAGTACTAGAGCAGCGGGCAAGGGGGGAAAAGCGGCGGCAAGGGGGGAGAAGCAGCGGGCACGTGAGGAAAGGCAGCAGGGAAAAGTAGCAGTGGGCAGTGAGGGGGAACGATAGTGGGCAAAAGTGGGGGGCAAGGAGGGGAATGGCAGTGGGCACGGGGGAAAAGCAATGGGCACGGGGGGGAAACGCGTGGGCCGGGAGAGAAAATGTGTGGGTAAGTGCGTAGAGTTAGTGGGCAGGTAGGGACAAGCAGTGGGCAAGGAGGGGGAAGAGTAGTGGACACGGGGGGAGGGATGGGGAAAACAGAGGGCAGACTCCTGGGAAACAGTGGGTGAGATATCCAGGAACCGGGAAGAGGGGTGGGGGAGACAGGGAGGTACTAGGGGGAAACTGGAGGGGGTATATGGGGAAGCCTGGTGGGGAAAAAGGGGGGGAGACCTGGGGGGGAGTGGGGGAAGCCGGGGAGCAGCGGGCAGGGAAGCGGGGGAGCAGCGGGCAGGGAAAGTGGGGGGAGCAGTGGGCAGGGAAAGTGGGGGGGAGCAGCAGGCAGGGAAGCGGGGGAGCAGCGGGCAGGGAAGCGGGAGAGCGGCGGGCAGGTGAAGTGGGGAAAAGCAGCAGCAAGGAAGGACCGGCGAGCGGGTAAGTCAGGGACAACGGGTGGGCGATTGGGGGGAACAGCGGGCAGGGGAATGGGGGGACGGCGGGCGGAGAACGGGGGAACGGCGGGCAGGAACGTGCTGGGGAGACGACGGGCTGGGATGTGGGGGAGCGGCGGGCAGGGAAGCGGGAGAGCAAAAGGCCAGGAAGCGGGGGAGCAACGGGTAGGGAAACGGGTGAGCAACAGAGAAACTGCGTGGAGTCGGGAGGGGGACAGGGGGGGGGAGGATAGGGAAAGAACAGGGGGCATTGATTAGAGGCGGGTTATGGAGCTCGACTGTGGGGAGGCGTACGGGGGGAAGGTGGGGAAACGGGGATTGGACAAGATGGAAGGAAACAGCCTGCAGGGAGAGGGGGGACGTGGAAGGGGAGGGGGGG